TGATACATAATCACTACATTTTGATACCAGTTAGAAAAAAATGCCAAGACACTCTGCTTTATTCCAAATAAAATTTGTGTTCCTAAATAAAGTTCATTTAATGAAGATCTTTACGCATTAATTTCTAATTCACTCAAAAAAACTCACTAAAAAGCATAAGATATTTTATAGACATTGATATTGGATACAATCCTAGAATAATATAAACAGCTATAAATGATTTCCAGGAAGAGGTTCCCAGAACATTGATAAGTATCATTTTTAAGAAGTAGAAGAGTTCATAGGGAAGCCCACAAACAAAGCAGGATTAAAAGGTTAACCAGATGAGCAAATAAATATACAAGTTCCCACAAAAACAAACTATATTTTATCCAGGCTGCAAGAAAAATATGGCCACCATTTTTGACCTGATCAGCTAGCTAGCATTTGGGGTAGTGTAGATTACTCCCCAAAGGAATATAAATTGTAGATGGACTCAGACATTTCTTAGATATAACAGTGTTTATGTACAAATAATATAGTTTTGTTTTTCTGAGCACAGAAGGAAACAAATAAATGAGACAGGCTTATTCCTCGCAGCACCCAAGCTGTAAGTAATGAACCTGGATCAAATGGTTTCTCTCAGCTTTTCTCGGGGTAAAAAAAAGATGTCATTAAATGAAGCAGATCAGCTGTGGTGAGAGACATCCTGCCACAGCTAATCCGCTTTATTGGACAAAACACACATTGCCCAATGCAGAACAATGAGCAATGTGTTCCCCTTGTCTGGGAATTCCCTTTGTCCCTCACTGCTTCGTGGCTCATTGTCAAGTTCCACGCTAACCCATGCTTCACACAGAGGCACAAAAGTCCCAAAACAGGACAGTGTAGGACCCAGGGAATCCCCAGTGCCCCATGCCTCCACACTGGGACCTAAACCAACTAATCCCTCCACTGGAAGCATTGGTTGGTGTGGGTCTCAGCAAGGAGACATGGGGCACCAGGGATTCTCTGAGTCCCATGCCTTCATACCAGGACTCGTGCAAATTTTCCCTGCTTACAGTCATGCCCCTGGAGATCCCAAGGTGGGTCTCGAAGTAGGAAACCCCAATTTTCCCTGGTTACAGAGAGGCACCCCAAAATTCCCCAGGGCATGGAGGCTGGTGCTCCCAATGCTTGAGTATCAGGCCACTCAAGCCCAACAGCACCTATCCAGGGAGGCTAAAGTACAGGCAGCTCCAGGCTGCCCACTCTTGTGCCACAGAACAAACAGAACTCCGCTGCAGCAAAGAGGAACAATTTTACGAAGCTTTTATTGCAGCCATTGATGCAGCACAACAAAGGGTAGAGACATCTGTTTAGTCACCATTTGTCCCATCATAAAAATTTTCATGGCAGCACAAATAGGACATCAGGGAATGGGACATGTCTGGTTGGCTGTGCTGCAGCTTTCTTTACTACTGTATCTGTAGTGCTTATCCTTGCTTGTCTAAGTGAGTTCTCTCCCTTCACACCACTGATGATTAACCACTTTAGACCCCAGGCACCCTTTGGAACATGCCAGCTCTTAGCTTTCACTTGTTTTCTGACTATGGAAAAATAGAGCAATTGGTAGAGGTTTTGACCCTGGGGTCTCCACAGCAAAAAAGTGGGATGGCACACATGGCAGCAGTGTGTGCCGGCCAAAACTGGAGCCTGGCCGGCCAAAGCCACACTGCAGCTGCCAGCCAGGTTTCCTGCCATGGCTCAGCTCCCCAAGGCCACCACATAAGGCTGTTAGGGCCAGCAGAGTTGCTGGCCCCAGTCTCCCCTACCCTATCTGATGTAACCTGCCACTCACCTGAGCACATGTGGCACAAGCATTCCCCAGGGACAAACTGCAGCAGCACAAGGTGTGCCATTGCTACGTGTCCTCGGGGAAACAAATGTCCACACTCATCTGGATGCTCCCAGGGGTCAATAACAGGCAATGTTAAAGCAAGTAGCCTAAGCAGCCTTTAATGAAGTCAGTTTGGGGGAACCAGATTAACTCACACAACATGGGCTTGGCTAAGAGAATGTAAATTGGAAGCGTCCTGTTGCTTTGAGAGAAAAGACTATCTAATTTATGTTTTAGTATGATATGAGATTAGAAAAGACAAAGGCTTATCTACATCAGGAAGGGACCTTGCAGTAAGCTAGGCTATGCATTTACAGTACACTAACTACTCCTGTGTGAACACTCTTGCCACACTGAAAGTGTGAGGTATTCTGATCTCCTCTTTGAAATGAATACTTTGATTTCATTACTACGCCTAGTGGACAATATCTAGTCTGCATCACAGAAAGTCATCATAACAACATCACTATCTTGTCAATGTTAATCAAGAGGCCAAGGACTGAGTATGTGCAGATGAAATCACCTTCCCAAATCCAGGACTCATCTACTTGACGCTGTGTAGGAAAGCTGAACCAACTATAGGTATGGAGTTAAATAACATGAATTAAAAGTAGATTAACCTCCTCCCACCCCAGGTCTAGATTCTCATTACTCAGGAATAAAGAGGTTTTAGATAGCTGCATCTTAATCCTCCTCTAAAGGAAGCTAGGGCACTTCTATCTGGAATCATAACATCCAGAATAGTATTTATCATAACTTAAATGTATGCATGTAGACTCAGCACCTTTAACTGATTTGCCTAAACTTTCCTGGGTCCCCAGGTAGACATGTCTGCAGAAGCATTCTATCTACACCCGAACTGAAGCATGAGAGAGAGCAGACTCAACTTATTTTTTGTAGATAAACAGAATTCTCACTCCCAAACTAAGCATTATATTGGATGAATGGGTGGGTAGACAAAGAGAGAAAGGGAGAGTGAAAGATATGAGAGAGAGGCAAATAGGGTATCGGGCAGGCGTATCATAAATTTACCAAACTGTAACATATAGTCAAGTATATGTGCATTACTCCCTCTACTGGATGAAATCACATTTCCTATACAGGCAGTGCTCAATTTAAGACGTTGAGTTGCAACAAATGGTACTTAGGACATTTATATACTGACACCCTATTTTGACTTTACAACACTTGAGCTGACGCTATGTCGCCCACCTCCCTAGAAACATCTGTCCAAACTTCCTTGGGCACTTTATTTAAGAAAGCAAACAAGAGTCCAGAAAAACCTGCAGGCAACTCCTGAAAAGACTCCAGCCAAGAACCCTTCAGAAAGTCCAGCAAAGTCACCTCAAAGAAGTCCTTCCAAATCAATGATTGCTATTTACAATATAAATACATTAATACAGCTATATGACTTCTATAATTGATTGAATACAAAATTCTGCATTATTTTGGGTGAAAATAGGGTACTGGGCCATGGTTCAGGAACCAATCCCCGCCATTTATAACAGTGATCCTATGGGAAAAAATCGGTTCCGAGTTATGACATTTCGACTTAAGACATGGTTTTCAGAAACCAATTGTGTCGTAAGTCCGAGGACTACCTGTAATACATGTGACTATTCCTTATTATAACTGCTAGCTTACTAAAAACCTACATAAACTTGGTTTTGTAGGAAATATTCTAATCAATTATGGACAAACTTAGCTACATAACTTTCTCATCTGTATTTGTGTTGCACACAAATTCATTGCAAAATCCAAATATAACCCATGACAAATTTTTTAAAAATCACTGAACTCCAATAGTGATAGTATCTGCCTGTACAGATCAGCAATTTCAACTTACTGAATTGAAAATTATTAATGTAAATAAGACATCACTCCTTGTGTAATCACACAGGACAATAAAGACCTTAAACTTCTTAAAATGTTACCTGTGTTCCTGTTTTGGTCATACAAAATATTTGCATTTTCCTTTTGATGCCAATGACATTCACTGTATTTTTTATTTGATTATCTGCTTCAGAAGACACCAAAATAAGAATATGTCTTAAACACAGCCAAAATGATCTGAGACTTTCAGCCATTTAATTTGAACTCAAGGCATAACTTTAGCCTAATTAAGTAGTCATATATTAATCTTGGACACCTGTAACTAATTAACTGTGATTAGTATCCAGAAACTCCAGAAAAGGCTAACAATCTGAAAACTGTTATCCTCCTTTTAGAATATCATGGTTTTACTTCCCACCCAGATAAACTGGTTGGCAACAATTACACATGAATCATAGAGAAAGCATGCTAAGATCCCAGAAAGCTTTGAAATCCACAGTATGCTAAATTACGCAAGATATCTAACAGTTACCCTATGCACAATGTCTCATTCTGCTTCGTATTTGAGCTACACTTCTTGTTGTAAGTTTACATTTTCATGTGTTCACAAAATATTTATCTGCATATTGACTAAGACAAACAAAAAAAATTAACTACCTTTAACTTATCACTGGAAAAAGCACACTAGATGGCACTAAAAACCACAAGATCCATTGTATTAGCATGAGTACCACATACATTTTGTTGTGTGGATTAAAAAGTATTTTAGTATTGCTTTTCCGGTCCAGGGCACCAGCACACAGCATACAGAACTGAGTACAAGAACAATTTTCTAAGTCTCATATTTAGGAAAATGCAAGCAATCTCTTATAAAGTAAGCATTCCTGTTGTATCTATTGATGGAAAATAAAGACCAGCAAGTGAAAAAAATTCATTTATCCCTGCCCAGTAGAATAACTATATTATGTTCTCTTCTCTCAAATCATCATCCCAAAAGTTTCCTCATGGTTTTCTCCTACTGTCTTCATATCATCCTCTTACCCCGCCCCCATGACCCCTCCTCCTTTCCCTTAGCTGAAAATCCCACTTCCTCATGTTCCAAAAGAAAGCCCTCAGGTCTCTCTTAGAAATATCAAAATTGCCACACTCAAGACCCACACAGCCACACTGGATCAATTATAAGTTTCATCTTAACTTTATTTTACGAACACTAGCTCATTTTTTTCTATTTGTTATTTTATCAGTGTTTACCACTTAAGTTCTATTTATTACAATAAACCTTACAAGATGTTTTCTTTTTAAATGTAAAGGTCACTCAATTATCAACATTTATTTAATGCTCACTTTTTCTACTAAATTAGTATAGTAAAAGCTGTGTTATCTGGCATCTTACAAGCCAGTACACTCTACTAACCAGCATGCCGGCTTGCAAGATAAAGTGAAACCGGAACTTCTGGTTTCTCCAAGCCCCCACGGCCGGGGGCAAAATAGCCTGCGCTGCCAAGCCCCCACAGCCCGGGGGCATTACAGGCTGCGTGGGGCCCACCTCCCTGTCCCACTAGGCCTGCAGGGCCTGCAGAATGGGCAGCAATGTGGCGGAACGGACAGCAATGCCGCGGGAGGGGCAGAGGAACGCCCCAGACGCAGCGAGAGAAGTGGTGGCCAGGGCCGCTCAATTAACTGGTATATTTTGTTATCCGGCATCCCCGCTCCTGGGGGATGCTGGATAACAGACCTTTTACTGTTATAACCAGTACTAAACCAGTACCAGTACTAGCACAGGTAATTTCTACATTCAGCTTGCTGAAAAACTACAGTAAGTCATTAACAGGGATCCCGGCTTTTCCATTTCCCACGGAAAAAAAAAAAGAGAAAACCATGGATTTCCTGACTTTATCAGAGAAAAAATGAATTTTCCCTTTTAGAAAAGATACCTGTGCATTTCCCATTCTTGCGAAGAGCTCTGCAGGTGGGCAGAGTTCCAGCCTGCAAAAGCTGTTTGCAAACAGGGCAGGAAACACCCAACCCTGTCTGGAGGGGGAGGGAGAGGGGTAAAGCACAGGGCCTGAAGCTCTCACTCACCCAAGGCTCAACTCAGGCTCACTGTTGGCTCCTAAAGCCTAAGGTAAGTGGGGCTGGCAGGGGGTTTGCAAATCACTGCACGGGGGGCACTGGCAGGGTTGGGCGAGCCCTGGCAGGGTTGGGGGAGCCCTGGGTGGCAGGTGGTGACTGCCAAGGCTGGGGAAAGGGCTACCAGGGCAGGGGGGCAAGGCACAGGTGTGTGGCTGGGGGCTGAGTGAGAGTGGAGGTGTTGGGGGAGGCCCCACATGGAGTGCCTGCTGGTGGTGTGTGGACCAGGAGTAGCTTGCTATCGGCCTGAGCAGCCTCTGCACTTCCCTGTACAGCTTCCCTGAAGGGCCAATAGTGCACCTCTCTGCGTCCAAGCACCGCCAGTCAGGCAGGCACTCCGTGTCTTTCCCCAACACCACCTCCTCAGCCCCAAGCCAGCTTCCCGCAAGACTACCCAGCGAGCGGCACATGGACCCAGATCGGCATGCTATTGGCCCTTCACGGAAGCCACACAAAGAAGCATGGAGCCCACTTGAGGCGATATCATACAGCTCCCAGTCCATGCGCTGCAGGGCAGGCCAGGCGGGCTTCACGCCTCCATGTGCGGTTTCCTGTGGGAGTACAGGAAGCCACACAAGGAGACACAGAGCCTGCTTGGCCAATAGCATGCAGCTCCCAGTCCACGCACCACAGGCCAGCTTGTCTGGGGCTTGGAGGAGGGGCTGGCTCCCTGCCGCAGCATGCATTCCTTTGGGTGGGCAGGAGGGACCCACACCCCTGAGATCTGTGCACGAGGCAGGGGCAGAACAGGTGCACACTCATGCTCCCGACCATGCTGTCCTCCCCTGGGGCCTCCACAGCACAGTGTGTGTGACCCAGCATAGCAGAGCAGACCATGGCCAGGAAAGCTGCTTGCCTCTGCAAGCTGCATGCTGCCTTGGCCACACTTCCACTGCAGGGGGGGCAGCAAGGGGTACAACCCTGTGCTGCTGCCCACACTGCCCCCATGCACACAGGGGAAGTGTGGCCAGGGCAGTGCACAGCTTGCAGAGGCAAGCAGCTTTCCCGTGCAGACCCACTCTGCCCTGCCAGGCTGGGTTACACATGCTGTGTTGCAGAGGCCCTGAGCGAGGGCAGCAAGACAGGGAGCACAAGCCCACAGTGTGCATCCGGCCTGCTCTCAACCCACACACAGATCTGGGGGGCACGGATTCTCCTGACCCCTAGGAGTGCATGCTGAAGCCAGGAGCCAGCCCCACCCCTGGCCGAGCCCACACCAGGCAGGCAGCAGAGGGGGAGTCAGCTCCATGCTCCTTCTGCTACAGCAGCCACTGCCTTCTGTTGGGGACAGAGAGCTGTGGACCTGGATCCCTGGCCCCATAGCTCTGACAGCTGCAAGGCCCCCTCCAGCAGGGCTGGGGATGGAGGGTGAGGGTCATGAGCAGGGCTGGGGGGCTGTTGTGAGGGGAGTGAGGGGCACTAGTAGGGCTGGAGGACTGTTGTGGAGAGAGCAGGGCATGAGTAGGGCTGGTGGGGGGGAGCCTTTAATTTTAATAATGGATTTGGGGGGTTTAATCAGAGAATTTGCAATTTTTTTTTTTTAAATCAGGGAAACCCAGGTTCCCTGGTCATAAACGCCTCAGAAAACATCTACCTTTGTTTACAACTGATCATCTGAAGATGCAAAGCACTGAGTTTTGTAAAAGTAGGGGTGTAAAAAGTAGGGGTGCACAGATAGATTTTTTTGGCAGATACCGATGGCCAATTTTTAACAAGCTATCGGCCAATACCAATCAGATTGCCAATATGCAGCTTGAAAAGCGGCATCCAGCCGGTAAGTCTGTTGTGGGAATAGGGGCAAGTGGGGGTAGATTGAGCCCCCGCAGTAAGAGAGGGAGTGGGGCTGGCACTGGGGTGGGTGCTGCCCAGCCAGGGTGGGGCAAAGTGTGGAACAGAGCTGCAGCTCATCCTGGGGGCACGGAATTGGGGGTGGCCCCATTCCTACATGCACTCTGGGAGGGCACGGGGAGTGTGTGCCCCCAAATTTGTGCATAAGGCAGCAGCAGCGCTGGGAGGGAGGCTACAGCAAATTTTGGGGTGGCTGTAGACCCATCCCCCATAACTCTCCTCCAGCACCACCAACACCTGCCCTGAGCACAGCCTGGCCCAGCCCCACACCAGGAAGGGCCCAAAGCCACACCCAGTTCCAGCTCAAAGTGCATGCAGATCCAGAGGGCATACGTCCCCACATACCATCCCAGGATGCATGCAGCAGTGGAAGCCACTCCCCACCCCATGCCCCCTGGGCAAGCCGCAGCTCCATCCCGTGCCCTGCCCACCCCAGCCCAGCTGCACGCAGCATATATCAGCAACATTATCAGCCACATCAGCCAAAGACAGCCAATAACATTAATTTTCCTTTTATCAGTGCCATTACAATACGGACAGATGTATCAGTGCACTTCTAGTAAAGAGGGGTTTTTAGAAGTTATTTACACCCAATCTCTTACCCCCAGTGATTTGGATGCAAATAAAAATTAAAAGAAGATGGGAGTAAAATTAAAATGAACTTGCTACCCGCTTTGTTTTGTGCATATCCACTAGAGAAAGACCAGCTTATCACAGTAAAAGAAAATAGAAGCACTGCCCCCTCCCCGCAACATGGTCAAGTAGGGATCACTTTGAATTCTAGATTTGCATGTCTTTGTCTTCAAAGTATCACCCTATAACAGGGTGGTCTGTACCTTTAAAAAGGAGCAGATGGTCGTGTTAAGGACATTCAGCTTTGGGGCATTCTGCTGACCAGGGAGTGTCCCACTGGGACCTTTAAAAAGCTCCAGAAGAGAAACCAAAGCAAAAAAAGGATCTCTCCTCCTAACATCTAGAAAGGACGTTTTCTTTTTTGTTTCATTTGTTTCACTGGAGACTAAGACTTGTGTTGGGGGGAAGCTACCTGAAGGGCTAATAATGTGGCTACCTCTCCTGCAAAAGGCTGGAAAATAAACAATCTGCTTTAACATTTTTTTTCATGCTTGTGAAAATTTCCAGATTAACAACCTTGGACAGCTAAGTCCTTTATTTATCTATAGAACAGGTACAGTACCAGGGTCAGGTTCCCTATGCTGTCCGGGCAAAAATCACCCAATTTAGCTAGGAAGGCAAACCTCTTGAAGAAAGGTGGTAAAGGTTCTATGGCCACTCAATGTTTATCTCTTCTATCAAAGTTAGCTGCATTGGATGGCCTGTGCTACTTAACATACATAGATATCAAAGGTCATTTATTATGGGTAATTGTCTACTCTGACTTTCCAAATGTAAAATAATTAGAATATGTGCTGGATCCATCTTTTCTAGCACAATACAGTTCATGCACAAGAACGGGAGAGAGAAACTATCCAAGCTAAGCTACCTTCAGCCTAGTTTGGCCTACCCAGTTTTCAAATTTTAAACGCCAAGAGTATGATGTGGATTGTATGCAAAATTCCTTCCCTAAAAAGCCAATTGGCATACAGGTGCCATTTTTATACTTCCAAATCACTAAAATGTCAGAATAAAAGCCCTGCAGTAAAAAAGCTGCACTTGAAGCCATCACTGCAATTCTGCTGAAGAAAAAACTCAAAAAAAATTTAAGGAATGAACTTGTACATCAAATTGTTGTGTTGGAAAACATGATTCATGAGAATTGGACCTTAAGTCCACAAGGCTTAGAATTCATAATGTAGAGAAGAAATTGTTGGCTTTTGTCACTGATAACAATTCACAACCACCAACAGGTCTTTCTACCGATATTGCCATTCAATGCCAATTGCCATAGCAGTTCCTGAGCTATTTGTACTTGCCAAATAGGGAACAGGCTAAAATTGAACACTCTTTTTATGTAAATCACTGACAAATCACAGGATGGAAGTGACTTTTAGTCAAGACTAATACGTACTGGATTGAAAATAGAGATTTAAAAGATGTTGCACCTTATTATCTAATTTCTGATCCAGTCAGTAACCACTTAAAATCACATTTTTAGTATGTGCTCACTTCCTAAAGAATACTAGTGTTTATTCTTCCCCACTAAATATAAAATATGCATATATATTACTATAACTACCACAGTATGTAATTATTATTTCACTAACGTAGACACCTTGCACACAGCACACCAAATATGGTAAGAATTTTCTGTTTGAGTAACAGACTTACTAAAAATGATGCACTTAAAAATAAAATATGGCTTGACCCCAGCGTTTACCTTGCAGTTTCTCCTGTGGGGGAGAAAAATCAACCACCAGGCCTTTGAGTGCCTATGCGATAAGCATCAGGCAAATAAACTGCTGATTTGCTTAGGAAGTTAAAGTTAACAACAAAGTATTCCTGATGTATGAGTTTTAGCAGAATGTAAACAACAACAGGAGTTTTTGTCCTAAGATGTTTTATCTTTGATTACTGTAAGCAGCTGTTATAACTTTATTTGTGAAGCAATTTGAACATAAGTTTCCCAGGAAGGGCAGAGAAGTTCCCCACTGCGAAAATCTGCTGGAGAGAAAATAAATTAGGAGGGAAAAGCAAGGTAAAAATGGCAATAAGGAAAGGACAGAAATCCAACAGTGTGAAACCACTGAGCTTCCAGTTTGTGGGGGAGGGGGCAAGACTGCTAACTAATAATTAGGAGTGCTGATTGTCCACTATTAACATCTAAATATATAAGTTTGATACAAGGCCAATGCCATCAAGACACCATCAAGAGTTATCATCCCTTAAAAGGACCTATGGAATTCAATGCCTATCACAGTCAAAGGCCTTGTTATTTATTCTTAATATTCAGGAGAATGAATCCAATACATTACAAAAATAGCATGGCATTATTGGCCTGAAGGATGAATATAATGAGATAAGAAATCTTGTTCCTAGCCAAATACAACAACAAAACAGTCATTTCATTTTTTTATTTTAAGCAACTTCTAGTAAAGACAGGCACAATTAGCAAGAGCAAGAGGCTGAGACTTAATTAAAATTTTCAGTCCATCAAGATGACTTCAAAGGGCACTTTCACCTGGTACCTAGGGTTTCCTCGACTACTTAAAAAAAAACATAGAAATACCTTCTAACCATCTCACTCAGCAATTCTCAATCTGTTCAGACTCAAGGCCCCCTTAGAAAGCGCAGTTTTCACTTGCGTTTTCACCACAGCCAAATGAACAGAGCAACTCCTCTGTAGCAAAAAACTAAAAAAAACCCACAACAGGGCAGAGTGGCTTGAACACTGCCAATGCCTAGTTGGTCTCTGGGTTTATCTCATGCGTCTTGTGCACTTCACAGGGCTAACCTTGCTGGGTATTCAGTGGCACCCATAAAAGGATCTCCAGGCACACCTGGGTGCTGTGACACCCTGCTTGAGAATTCCTGCTCTAAAGCCCCCAAAGCATGCCCATCAGCCCCTCTCCAACAAGCGCTTGCCTGGCATTGCCAACACACCCAGGAAGGCCAAGGGAGTATCTTATAGTTTCGTAGTTGGTAGGGTCGGAAGGGAGCAGATCAAGTCTGACCCCCTGCCACGGCAGGAAAAAGTACTGGGGTCAAACGACCCCAACAAGCTGTTTGTCTAGCCTCCTCTTAAAGACCCCCAGGGTAGGAGATAGCACCACTTTGCTTGGAAGTTGGTTCCACATCCTAGCCGCCCTGACAGTGAAGTAGTGCCTCCTGATATCTAGCCTGAATCTACCCTCTGCCAGCTTGTGACCATTATTTCTAGTCAATCCCGGTAGTGCTTGGGGGAACAGGGACTCCCCCAATGCCTGCTGGTCCCCCCCGACTAGTCTGTAAACAGCCACTAGTTCCCCCCTCAGCCTTCTCTTGTAGAGGCTGAACAGGTCCAGGTCCCTTAGCCTCTCCTCATAGGGCCTGCCCTGCTGACACCTGATCATGCAAGTGGCCCTCCTCTGGACCCTCTCCATGTTGTCCACATCCCTCCTGAAGTGTGGTACCCAGAACTGGATGCAGTACTCCAAGTGCGGCCTGACCAGTGTCACAGAGGGGGAAGATCTTCTCCTTGGACCTGCTCGAGATGCATCTGTGGATGCATGACAAGGTATGGTTGGCCTTCCTGACCATGTCCCTACGCTGTCGGCCCATGTTCATTTTGGCATCGATAATGATTCCAAGATCCTTTTCTGCCTCTGCACTGATGAGAAGGGAGTTCCCCAGCCTGCAGGTATGGTGCTGGTTCTTCCTCCCCAGGTGCATCGCCTTGCTCTTGTCAGTGTTGAAACCCATCCTGTTCTCATCCACACATCCCTGTAACCCGTCTAGGTCCGATTGCAGCCTATTCCTCCCTTCCAGCATGCCCACTTCCCCCCACATCTTAGTGTCATTCGCAAATTTGAACAGGGTGCTTTTACCCCCTCGTCCAAGTCGCTGATGAAAATGTTTATCTTGGCCACTGGCTATGTGTAGGAGGTACACGATCTGCAGAGTGCTGCCAATGCTGCCTGCAGGTAGTCGCCACTCCCCTCCCCCTTGCCGCCATTTGTGGGGGGTCCCCAATCACCAGTGGCCACCACTGCTGGGGTGTCTGCAACTCGCCACCCCCTGCCAACACTGCTGTGGCCGCCTGCGGGAGCTCACCACTGCCATGCACCCGCTGCCTGAGGGAGCTTGCTGCACCCTCCCAGCTTCCAGGGGCATGCAGCATTCATGATCTTGGCTTCAGTGCTCCCCCACCCCCAGGCTTGGGCCCTTAGGGGAGGCAGCAAGACCCTGCCCCCCAAAGGAATCCCAGGTCTGTTTCTTGCCAACACAAGGGGTCACTTACCAACAGCCCCCAGCCAAGCCCAGGCCCGCCGCAGGGCTGCTCCCCCACTCTGGGTCACTGCGCTTCGACAGCCAACATGGCGCCAGCCTCCCCCGCCCGGTCCGCGCACACGCATGCGCAGACGCCCCAGCCACCAGGGAGGGCGTGGCCAACTCCCCCTGCGTTCTGCGGTCGCCATGGTAGCGACAGTTGGCGGCCGGGCCGCCATGAGCCAGCAGCGTCCGGCGCGGCCGCTCTACTTCCCGTCCCTGTATGACCGCGCCGCGCCCAGCGCCCCCGCGGCCGACTGCGGCCTGTGGCGGAAGCTCTTTGTGCCCCTGCGCGGGGCTGC